TACACCTTGGGTTACACTATTGGAGTTTTAGTAAGGATCCCTATTTTTTTTCAAAAAAGATTATAGCCTATGTCACTCGCGAATAGTGTAGCTTCCAAACAGTGAAATCATTTTTCAAATCGGTTCAGTGATTTCGGAGCCTATTCAATACAAACAAACAAACAAATCTTTCCTCTTTATAATATTACTAGCGACCCGCCCTCGCTTCGCTTCGGAAACATTAAAACACACATGAAACCAAAAAAAAAAAATAAATAAATAAAAAAAAATTTAAAAAAAGTAGCCTATGTTCATCAGGGACAATGTCGGCTTCTAATGGAAAAAGAATTTTTCAAATCGGTCCAGTAGTTTCGGAGCCTATTCGAAACAAACAAACAAACAAATCTTTCCTCTTTATAATATTAGTATAGATTACTATATAGTAGAGATTTATGTAAAAAAAAAAACTTTTAGTTGCATTTTATATTAAAGCGTAATTTGTTAGTTTTTTTTAACTATTATTTATTAACTATGCACCTGAGATTCTATCGTAAATAGAATGCGGTGATTGTTAACGTTTCATTGTTCTTGTCAATGCCTAAGTTTTTACACGATTTGATGTCGTCTGTTAGTTAATTACATATTTAGTATTGAAGTGATTGCGTGCTCTTTGATTCCGCGGTTCGTCGACTCAACTAAACCATTTGCAATAGAACCGTGGTATGCGTGATGCATCGCTGCTTCCCGTGTGAAAAATTCCCGTTGACTTTATTGTTATAAATTTATCCCTGTTTGTAAACGGTTCATGTTATACTAAACGAGAAAGCGGAAAAGACATCAGAGCCGTCTTTATCACACAATTATTATTTTTATCTGCTATCAAGAAATAGCTCACAGCTCTGATGTAAGATGTAACCGTAGGCCCATACCACAAGGTTTTGAACTTGATATCTAAGTCTTAACTGCTTTGGTACAACGGTTATCCTATTCTTCAAACCACACACCTGATTTCTTTACGACAGGAGTATGTGGGATTGTGATACCCACTTTTAACATGTACCAGTACAAAACCGCACGTTTTCTTAATTCACAAGAACTTCTTAATCTCAATTAAGATTTTCTTCATAAAGTTTGAAACTACAAATATTCTAACAATCAAACCATCAAATGCTATGAATTCTTCATTAACAAAATTGATTAAAATCGTCCACGCTCTGATTACTTTATCAAGTTTAATTATTAAAACACCAGGTTCCATTTTCACTGTCTAGACAATTACGCAGCCGCTCGACTGATTTACGCCACCTTCGTAATACACTACGGAGACGTTGCTTAAAGAAACTAATTGCATATACTGAATGAGTTCGAAAATAAAAGTGGTAACGATATGGAATCACAACGCGGACGACATAAGTGAGACCTGTATGCGTTTGGGTATGTAACTAACTGATTAACGTATACGTAAATATAACTCTTATACGATTTCAACAGGCGTTTTATATAGTAGAATGTATCTTTTATTAATACGCTTTTATTAGCTTCAGACGTATGTATGTACCGGAATCTTTGAACATGATTTTGACCCCCTTCAAAACGTCGGATTAACTCGAAATTTGGTATACTTATTAAGGACTGATGACAATTCAATATTAAAAAAAAATATTCAAAAAATTGAAAAATGAAAAATAAATAATAGTTTAAAAAAACTAACAAATCAAAAATAGGATAAGAAAAAATAATTTTATTGTAAAAAAACCCTGGGGTGGATGGTATCAGTAGTTATAAATATTTTATGAACAGATATGAGTAGAAGGGTTATTTTGATTAATATCCTGAAAAGCACCCCACGCAATAAAATCATTTTTTCTTACACTATTTTTAATTCAAATTTGTTAAAATTTATTTTCTATTTTTTTGTTGGATTTTCTATAAAAAGCGTATTTTGTTAGTTTTTTTAAACTATTATTTATAGGATTAACAATACGATGACAAGCATTGTGTTTAGGAAAATAAACTTTACGTAGCAATACCGAACCATAATTTAGGTTAATTTTGTTTTTCTTCATACATTTTATATCGAACATTATTTGGACGATCACACCAAAGGCCATAAAAGTGGTCTTAAATTTTTAATAAAAACATTAAAACAGACGTGGGCGGCGAAACAACACGGTCCGACATAAAAATCTGATCACGTCCAAAGGCGTCTAATTCCGTGCACTGATAGTTATCTCGTGCATCGAGTTACGTTATGCTAAATGAATAAATAAATGAGAATACACTCTACCTATGGTAGGACCTCTTGTGAGTCGGCACGGGTAGGTACCACCACCCCGCCTACTTCTGTCGTGAAGCAGTAATGCGTTTCGGCTTGAAGGGTGGGGCAGCCGTTGTAACTATACTTGAGACCTTAAAACTTGCATCTCATTGCGGGTGGCGCATTTTCGTTGTAAATGTCTATGGGCTCCAGTAACCACTTAACACCAGGTGGGCTATGAGCTCGTCCACCCATCTAAGCAATAAAAAATATATATAATGCGGGAGAGGTATTAGTGAATTAATGCAGTGACTGCAGCGCTGTCATTGTCGTGAATGACAATGGAAGTGAGATTGTATTGCATTAACTGAAACCGGTAACTGCGCTTGTATGTAGAGCGGGCAAAGCTCTCGGAGAAATCGTTAACGCGTATCTACTCATTCGCTATCGTGTATTTTTAACGGAAAGCCATTCGTTCATCTACGTATCATTAGTTATACTGTCACGATTTTTTTTATCTATTGCTGATGTCGTTACGTAGGTGGTCTTGAAGCTCGGAACGGCAATTGACATTTGTCATACACTGACAAGTCGCTGGTTATCCTATTGTAGTGGACACTCTACCTACGCGAGAGGCTCTCGACAGATCTTGAACGTTTCAACAAAACAAAAAACTTCAATAATTGAATATGCAATTTCGAAAAGGGCACATGTCGCATATTTTGTTTGAGGCTTACCTACACACGTTTTATAATAATTCCAGTAATTTTCAATTGCTAATTAACACTAAAATATATCTCAAAAGTTAATATTTAAAATTTTACAATGCTTTAGAAGATAATCAGCTTTTTTCATTTCCTGAACATTTTACATTTTCAGAGATGTGCCCTTTTCGAAGTTGCATATTCAATTATTTTCGATATAACTCAAATCACATTCAAACACGTTAGAGTCGCTACAGTACAAATGGAGGGGACTCGAGAGGCTAAAATTACCTGTGCAGAACGGTCTGGATTGCGGTTAGGGTAATCTGAGCGAGTGGTAAAATTAAACCAATGTATCAAAATAATATCACGAGGTTTTAAATCGTTTGTGGAAAATATGCGATCGTAATTAATCTCTGTAGTGTTTATGAGCCAATCAAAATATATAAAGATGTATTTCGATTAAAATCCTATTGTTTATTGATTAAAAATTGATTAAATTTTAGGCTTGTAAGAAGAAGCGAATCATGGTTTTCAATCATCTTTATCGCTCTGCATTATGTCATCAGAAACTGAATGAATTCTTAATGTCTATCAATTATCAGATGTAAATCGTAAGCATACTTGCGCAAGTGACCTTCTCGACTTATTTCAGAACTGGTCATCGTCTTATTGGAATACATTAATCAAATTTTAATAAATAGGAATTAACAAAGGAACAGCTTCAATGACAGTTACCTCAATTATGTTCCAGTTTTTTTTTGGCAAGGACTGTCATTTCAAACAGAAACAGCCTTATTGTGTTAAATAAAAACACAATGTAATATATGTGTAGGTACATATTTTTTAAGTTGCTCTGGATACAGTCATGTATCTCCAACCATTATTTAATTTGTCATAACGTGTTGTCATAATTGACAACTGTTTGATAGGCCGTATTAAGGATAAAAAACAAAAGTTACATAGAAGAAACCTATAAAGATTCGGATGACTCACTGCGTATGTTTTGTTTCTTTCTTTTGTAACGACCTAATAAAGCCAGGATCCTGTTCGCAATTGGGGTTATAAAAAGTGAAAAACATTATCTTGCTGTATAAAATTCGTGGGCATCGATTAAGTGAAGTCAGCTATTAAGTATATAATCCTTCGGCTATCACGTGAGCCCTGTAGCGGGTTAACGGCTTGTTAACTCACTCTGACCCCTTATAAGGTGTGAAAGCTCCTCCGCATTGTCGCCAGCCCCGATGGACCCAGTATGGGCAGCCTGATACGTGCTCCTTTCCACAAGAGCACATCGAGGTTGTAAGGAGATCAACAAATCCGTTTCAATCGATTTATGTCCAGCACACAAATGATTTGCATCGTGCAAGAATTTCAATATGTTTGAAAATGGAATAAATAAAAAAAATTTAATGAAATTCCTGTTTCTTTTGCATTAACAATAAGTAATTGTGTAGCGCTCGCGATTCGGTTCGAACGGACATGTTTATACGAATTACAGAAACAGATGGTCAATGATTGCAAATTCCGGAAATTAGCCTACATGAACTATGAGTCATCGGTTCTTTATCTGGATAAGCAAGATAAAACGAGACTCCGTTTGCATAACGATTCTTCGTTTAAGGAGGGGAAATTGAGGGGAACTTGCGTAGGACTAACTCCATGTATGTATGTCACATCGAGACTGACTAATGTTTGAAAACTAACAGTTTTGTCATCATTATTTGTTTATTGTAGGCTTTTTCTTCAAGAATGCTATTTAAATTGAATATCACTAATATCGTACAGCACATACATGTGCCTACACAAAATGCGTGATAATTTATTGGGCACATGAAATTGAATTACGACCTTTTGTTTCAGCATTAATAAAACTTGTTTCTATCCAAAGAACTATTACTAGTAATATTCTTTTTTATCCCGAGACATTCTGTTTTATATTTACTCGTATGGGACGATCTTCTGAAATTATTTTCGCGATATGACATGTTACGTTTTAAAAAATTTATTATAGCAGATGCTTCCACGCGTTACTAATTTGAAAACATCTTTCTTTACAGAAATAGCAAAGGTCCGAGCGAGTCTATTTCAAATCAATGGAGTGAAAAAGGAACCACTCATATTACCAGAACCAGAAGGCATGGTGACTACACTCACAGAAAAAGTGTATGTGCCAGTCAAAGAACATCCCGATGTAAGTAATTTACTTTAAAATAATGTTAGGGCAATTGGTTTTTGGTTATAATAGACTCTGCTCACTAAAATAAAATCGTTTTTTCACAATTCTGTGGTGACTACGTAAAAATATATAACGGGATCTATTCAACGCTGTTTTCATAAATATACACACAAATCGTATTTTGTTTGCATATATGTTTACAATGTTTTCTTATGTATCTCCGAAAATACGCTTTACACTAGTCGAAACCGGGTCATCGACGGCTGCGTGTTTAAAATCAATCTGCTCTTCCACTTGCTGCTTTGAGAAAGTCAAATCAAACCGTATAGTTTGAAGTTTTAATAAAGAAATACAAGTCGTCAGATCTGGAAACTAGCACAATAGAACCGTAAGGCCTTTTATAAGTTAACTAGAGGTCCCGCAGTAGTCGAAATTCGACTATAATTAATTGGAATTGTAAGTTTATACACTATTATTATTGTATTTTATACTTCTATAATCACAAATTTCGCCAAGACTACACTATAAAAAATATTTACAAAGACAAACCATATTCTATTCTCAATTTGACAACAGACGTCAAGAACAAAAGTTTGACATTAAATATAAATAGTGCATGCGTGTGTGCGTCAAATACATGGTATGAAGTGTGTGTAATGTTTTCTTTATCGATTTAATGTATCATTTATGCATTATTTAAAAAAAAATATTAGCATTGTGCACTTCTTCTCTATATTCTCTATAAGTGTGGAAAATTTCATCCTCCTCCGTCCACGCAATGTTCTTAAAAAGGGATACAAAGTTTTTGCTTCACGTATTAATATATAGATTCTTTACACAGAGGCTTGTTGTTATCGTTAAATTTTAATTGGGAACCATTATTGTTATTTCGTCAACCTGTTCATTTGTTCGATTTATGAATACTACGTATTTTTAATTAGAAAACAACGAAGTGATTGTCTTTTTGTCGGTTATGGAAATTTCAAGAGTCTGTTTGGTTTTATTTATATTCGTTTGATAATCAACAACGACTTTCATTAAGTTATCAATTTCCGAAAGCTAATTAACAAGCGAAACCAATGTATCGAAAATATCGAATTGATACGAACGCATGTTGAAAGTATCTGTGTTGTTCTGTGAAACTTAAAATGTTTAACTGGTGGTAGGACCTCATGTGAGTCCGCACGGGTAGGTACCACCACCCCGCCTACTTCTGCCGTGAAGCAGTAATGCGTTTCGGCTTGAAGGGTGGGGCAGCTGTTGTAACTATACTGAGACCTTAGCACTGATATCTCAAGGTGGGTGGCGGATTTGCGTTGTAAATGTCTATGGGCTCCAGTAACCACTTAACACCAGGTGGGCTGTGAGCTCATCCACCCATCTAAGCAATAAAAAAAAAACATTATAAGAACACATAATAGTTTCATTTTGATACCGTAATTCTATCACAACAGTGAGCGCAAAACTTGTGTTAGTCATACAGACCCAAGGCAGTCAGCATGCTACATTTGGAGACTTATGTCAGGGCTATCTCGTCTTAGGGGCGACCTGCGCGACCAGTTGATGTGTATCTAAACATTGTTACAAAACCTACAGGCATCTACTCACTGTAACAAATAAATTCTGGCTCATCCACAATAGAACGCGTTATTCAAGACCATATATAGCGAATAGTTCAACGAACTAAATGATTCATTCATGAATATTTACCCAATAATCAACAGTTTCCTATTATGGTAACAGACATATCTCTGATGGCTGCCTGTGATAATTCTACAGACTTCTCCATAATATAAGAAAAAAGAATTGGAACGTTGAAGTCCTAATCGGTTGTACAAACAGTTACATTAAAATTCTGAATAGATTTAATATTGATCGCAGCCTTTGCAGTTCATTCGTATCGGTTATAAGTTTTTTACTGGTGGTAGGACCTCTTGTGAGTCCGCGCGGGTAGGTACCACCGCCCTGCCTATTTCTGCCGTGAAGCAGTAATTCGTTTCGGTTTGAAGGGTGGGACAGCCGTTGTAACTATACTGAGATCTTAGAACTTATATCTCAAGGTGGGTGGCGCATTTACGTTGTAGATGTCCATGGGCTCCAGTAACCACTTAATACCAAGTGGGCTGTGAGCTCGTTTACCCAACTACGCCATAAAAAAAAAGTAATCCGACACGATTAATAAAACATCCCAAATAGTGGTTATAAATTGAAATAATCATTCAATTCAATGTTTTTGCGTAACATTAAATTACCTATTTAAATAAAATGTAACAATTGTAACAGTTTTAACACCAAATACAAATGTAGTATCAACCAATCGCAAATATATAGTTAGCCCGTCATATTATATTATGTATAATGGATCCAAAGTCGTCACACGTAATGCTGTGTTGTTTTCATGCATTTGTAAATTTTACGCAATAATTTTGAAAAATAAGTTTTGTCCGTTTACTGTTTTTCGCTAATGTCTATTTAGTATTATTTAAATAACATGGATCAAGGTATCGTGACTTAAGCACAGTATTTTCGGTAAGCGATAAGTTTAAAAACATAGTATTTGCTAATCAGAAATAGAGTCTTCTGCTGGACATCGAGTTTTTTCATTATTCTGATGTCCTTTGATTCGACTAATACATTAAAAAACAAAAACAAAAAACTATACCCACGTAGCTTATATTCTAACAATAAAATAGTCAAGGTCCTATGTTTATTATTTTAAATTAATGAATACTAATTAAATACGCGTCTATAGATTGATGATCAACAATATCCCTTGGAGACAGGGAGCGTGACTTGAATATTGAGTTTGTCACTATTCATGTGTAGAAACGCGTAGAATGTTACAATGCAAACGTAAATCTTAAGATAAATTGAAACGCAGGATAGACATTGCTTGTGCATCAAAAAGTAGCTAAAAAAAACCCGCCACGTACCTTATTAGGATCAAACGCACAATTATGATCAGTCACAGGTTGTGTTTAGAACCTCGTTGAAATACTACACGTGCCTATTGAAAATGCATATGAAAAAGTTTCCTACAAAACGTATTGCGATTTGAAATCTTTTTTTCCCACCGTAAATTATTGTTTTCGCAATTGGAAATATCGCCGTTGTTGTTCCGTACGTTCGCGTAAATGCGTGTTGTAAAGTAAACGGTGGCAGTCCAAAAATATATTGAACAGTATGCGATTCGTATGTCGGAGCATATTGTCGGAACAATAGTTTCGGTGCTTGGCGTGTGACTAATATCTTAAAATGTTTTACTCTTAGATTTTAACATTCGTTTTTATAGCTTAAACAAATGGTAACGTGTAAATGCTTTGATATTCCATTGTTTTAGACGTTACGTACAAGTATTTGGGATAAAACATAATGTACCTACGCGTGTATTCATTATTTTAGAACAGTTTCTTTTGGTACGTGATCCGTGAAGAACATTTTTTCGTAGTCTCTCAAGAGTTGAGACTATCTTAAGGCCAACTAAACTAAGATTAAATATAATTGAAGTTTTTTTGTGTTATAAGCTACGCCATTAAAGTTTTTGATTTTAAAATTCAAATAGCACGCATAGATCTCTTTCTATGGATTGAGATTTTCTAATGACCTACGAGAAAAAAATTTATAGTTAATACGGCGCATACTCGATTCCGCATAGCTATTGCAACATAAGATATTCTGAACACACTGTCACTGCGTATGCGTATGGGAATCCTACCCGTCCATTGTGCTAAGTCATGGTTGACACAAGTTCCTGAGCACCTGAGCCAGTTCTACAGGCTGTGTAAGTTTTACAGTAAAGCTTGTTGGCTGTATTAACAAGGACAACGAATTGATGTAACGTCAATTATTTATGTTTTTAATTATTGTGAAACACTGCCTCAGTTCATTGCAAGTGAAAGATGGTTTCGTTTTCTTTATCTTTTCCTCAGACGATTTCGAGTAAGTACCTCAAATCTATGTCCGCCTTAAGGTTTTATTATGATCGTCATTACCAAATCGTTTAATTTCATGTTTATAGTTATAAACTTTGTTATTACTTATTAAAATTTATTAAAGGCTTCGTGTCGTCGTGCCCTAGAGGATAAGACGTCCGGTGCATTCGTATGTAGCAATATACCGGTGTTCGAATCCCGCAGGCGGGTACCAATTTTTCTAACGAAATACGTACTTATCAATTGTTCACGATTGACTTCCACGGTGAAGGTATAACATCGTGTAATAAAAATCAAACCCGCAAAATTATAATTTGCGTAATTACTGGTGGTAGGACCTCTTGTGAGTCCGCACCGGTAGGTACCACCAATCTGCCTATTTCTGCCGTGAAGCAGTAATGCGTTTCGGTTTGAAGGGTGGGAACAACCGTTGTGACTATACTGAAACCTTCAAACTCATATCTCAACCACTTAACAAGAATGAACCGTGAAAAAAGGCTTAAAAGTATTCTACTCTAATAATACAAATGGTGTACACTGTAATGATATAATTCAACAAACAACTATGATCAAACGGCTGAGTTGTTTACTCCAGAGTCGTACCTCCAATTACGGGGAAACGTTATTAAATCCTGCCTTACTAGTGAGAACCGTTAGCTCGGCTTTTTACAGTCCACCAGGTACCATTTGACGCATGCTCTGACTGAAGGCTCGGGTTCATTATCTATCGACTCAGAGACGCCGACCGACGGAACTAGTGATGACCATGTTTAGCTATCTTAAACGAGTCCCTCCTCATCTACTTTACTCAAATATTAATTACACTGTAATTCATCATATGGTAAAACATTTTCGGTTCACCTTCAAACAAAAGTATGGAATTTTTCTTTGCATTTGTACTGGCGAACCATTAGTTGGAAACAAAAATTATTGTTATCTATAGTACGAACCCGATCTACATTTTGTTTGTCCGAACATTTTAACTTGCTTTACTGAAAACATGTCTGGAGCGAGCCGTATGTGCTTTATCTATCATTCACGAGTGCAAACATCAGTAAAAGCCAGCGAATGTGTTTCATGAAG